TCGGTGAGCCCATAGAACACTTGGTAGCTCGTCCGCCCACAACCCTTTAGCTCGGTCTAGTCGTGCTTTCAGTCCGCGGAGGATAGCTCTGTTCATTACTTCTGTCTGACCGTTTGCCTGTGGGTGTGCGACCGATGTGAATTTCTGTCGGATTCCCATATCTTGGCACCATTCCTGAAACTTGATATCCTCGAACTGCTTGCCATTGTCGGAGATCAGTACCCGAGGTAACCTGAAGCGACATACTATGTTCTTTCAAAAGAAGTTCTGTACGTTTCGGGCTGTAACTGTTGCCAAAGGTTCAGCTTCTATCCACATTGTGAAATAATCTACCGCTACCACTAGGAACTTCCTCCCACCTGTTGCTGGCGGGAATGGCCCCAAGAAGTCGATGCCCCATTGGACAAAGGGCCATGGACTGGTGAGGTACTTGAGGTCGGCAGCAGGCTGATGGTGGATATTGGCATGCTTCTTACACTTGTCGCATTTTCTGACGAGCTCGACGGCCTCTGCCTTCATCGTTGGCCAGTAGTATCCTTGTTGAAGTGCCTTTTGGGCGAGGGCTCTGCCCCCCAAGTGTCTATTGCACAGACCTTCATGAGTGTTGCGGAGTACGAGCTCGGCTTCGACAGGTCGCAAGCAACGCAGGTAGGGGAGCGTGTTGGACCGTCGGTATAGCCGTTCGTCTATTATGACGTATTTGGCTGCCTGGCGCTGCACCCTCCTGGCTGCGTTGCGGTCCGCATGGAGGGTTCCATCTAGCAAGAAGCTCGCGAGTGGGTCGATCCAGCTCGGCTCTGCTTCAAGGACGGGAGCCACCTCCTCTGCCCCACCGAGAATGCTAGGCCGAGGTAAGTCCTCTATGTACACGGTTCTCATGGCGTTGTGACTGGTGCTGGCTAATCGGAACAGGGCGTCGGCCTCAATGTTCTCTGACCTCGGGATTTGCCTGATGAAGTGTGACTGGAAGTTGAGCAAAGCCTCTTTTACTTTTGCCAAGTATGCGATCATAGTGAGCTCGCGTGCTTCGTATTCGCCCGTAACCTGGTTGACCACAAGTTGGGAATCGCTGCAGATAACTATGTGTTTTGCTCTTACCTTTTGCGTTAGGTTCAGCCCGGCTATCAGTGCCTCATACTACGCCTCGTTGTTGGATGCCTCGAACTCAAAGCGTAGTGCATATTCCAATTTCGTGCCACCCGGGCCGTGTTGCATATTCCAGCCCCGCTGCCCTGTTGGTTCGAAGAGCCATCTACGTGAAGGATCCAAGGCTCCTCATCCCAGTTCGCGTTTGGCCTAACTAGGAGAGATGCCACACTGGCTGCTACTTCACAGGGCTCAGACTCTATTGGCTTGGGAGATTTGGTCTCACCCGAACTGGGGATCTCGGGCTCAACCGGCCTAGGGACTTCGAGGCTGAGGTGCACTCAGCGATGAAATCTGCCAAGGCTTGGGCCTTGATAGCAGTTCGTGGCTTATACTAGAGGTCGTACTCGCTGAGCTCGATGGCCCACTTCGTCAGCCGACCGGAAACCTCGGGCTTAAGTAAGACTTGCCTCAGAGGTTTGTCAGTCAAGACGATGATAGTGTGGGCCTGGAAATATGGGCGGAGTTTCCGAGCTGCAATTACTAGTGCGTATGCTAGCTTTTCTATCTGCGGGTATCTCGTCTCTGCTCCCTGCAGAATTTTACTAACATAATAGATGGGCCGCTGGACCCGATCTACTTCTTTTATTAGTACCGAACTGACCACCTCGTCGCTTGTCGAGAGGTACAGTTCTAAGACCTCGCCCTCCTCGGGCCTGACTAAGATTGGCACACTAGTGAGGTAGCTTTTCAGCTCGTCGAACGCGAGTTGGCAATCTCGGGTCCATTCGAACCCTTTGCTTTTGATTGCCTTAAAGAAAAGCAAACAACGGTCTGCCGATTTGGACATGAAACGGCTCAAAGTGGCTATGCGGCCATTTAGCCTCTGAACCTCTTTTACTTTCCGGGGTGGTCTCATATCTAGGATGGCCTTTATCTTGTCCGGGTTGGCCTCAATACCGCGCCGGTTGACAATGTACCCTAGGAACTTACCCGATGTGACACCGAAGA